ACACAGAACTGTGACCTCTGATCTCTGAAAGGGCTGCTATCACCACCAGAATATCAAATACAATAACGTAAAGCAGGAAGCATAAATAATCCGCTTACAGAAATTTCATGGCTGGTGCCTTTTTTTTTTTTTTGGTATGTCCAATTTCATAAGCTGTTAGAAGACTTGCAGTAATAAATAAAATGAACGATTTTATACAGGAACCAGATCAAGAGATGCACTTAAATAAAGAGGCCAGGGAGATATAACTTTTCATTCTTTTTTTGTTTTGTTTTGTTTTCTTATTTGAAGGAAGCTGTCAAAGGTCTCATTGGGGACATGCCCAAAAGCTAAAAAATATTGGACAAAAATATATACTTGGCTGGAAAAAATGACAAAACAACATATAGTCTTGAAACCAGAGATATTTTTGTTGGGCGTTCTACCGGAAAAATATGATAAAAAGATTGTATATCTGATCTTGCATATATTAACCGCAACTAGAATTGTATTTGCGCAATAATGGAAAAATGATGAGATTCCGTCTGAGGGGAATGTAATTAAGAAAATATTAGAATCATCACCAAATATGAGCCAGCAGTGTGAAGCAGCTGCCAAAACAAACCAACACAGTTCTAGGCTGCATAAACAGAGGGATAGAATCAAGATCACGTGAAGTGTGAAGAACCGGTTCGGTGACATCACATGGTCACCGCTACCGGCTTGGGAGAACCGGGAGGAACCCACCACTCCTTCCTTCCTTCCTTCCTTCCTTCCTTCCTTCCTTCCTTCCTTCCTTTCCTTCCTTCCTTCCTTCCTTCGCAATAGCACTTAGACTTATATACTACTTCACAGTCCTTTACAGCCCTCTCTAAGCAGTTTACAGAGTCACCATATTGCCCCCCAACAATCTGGGCCCTCATTTTATCCACCTCGGAATGATGGAAGGCTGAGTCAACCTTGACCCTGGTGGGATTCAAACTGTCAAATTGCAGGCAGCTGGCAAACAGTAGAAGTCGCCTGCACTCTAACCACTGCGCCACCGTGGCTGAAATATGGCAGGTGGGCAAGGGGCAAGGGTGGAGCATCAACTTACTGTTCTCTGTTAGCTCCTTGGTGCTCTCTAAACATGGGTGTTGGCTGCAGGTTTTTCGTTACCAAATAGGTAACATTATCAGTGCTATTGACTCTGGGATTTAGTACCTATACAGTAGGTTGCTAGGGCAATGTTTGTATTAGCAATATTGACTGATAAGTATGGCTTGCTCCATTATAAATTAGTACATAGTAACAGGGCCACAATATGCATCTCAAAATCATCTGCCACGGGGCAGGAATTATGGGAAAGGGTCACCCTGAAAAATTCAGAGAAATATCCAGATAAAAGATAAATGTTCCCCTGCACATATGTGCTAGTCGTTCCCAACTCTAGGGGGCGGTGCTCCTCTCCGTTTCAAAGCCAAAGGGCCAGCGCTGTCTGAAGACGTCTCCGTGGTCATGTCACCAGCATGACTAAACACCAAAGGATCACGGAACACTGTTACCTTCCCACCAAAGGTGGTCCCTATTTTTCTACTTGCATTTTTTACATGCTTTCGAACTGCTAGGTTGGCAGAAGCTGGGACAAGTAACAGGAGCTCACCCCGTTACGCGGCACCAGGGATTCGAACCGCTGAACTGCCGACCTTTCGATCCACAAGCTCAGCGTCACTGAGCCACTGTGTCCCTATTAATAATAATAATAATATCCAGATACCAGATGTCAAATCATAGAATAACAGGGTTGGAAGGGACTTCAGTGGGCTCAGGCAGGAGACCTTCCACAGATAGTCCTCGACTTACGACCACAAGTGAGCCCAACATTTCTGTTGCTGAGCAAGGCAGTTGCCCAGTGAATTTTGCCCCGTTTTATGACCTTTCTTACCACCATTGTTAAGTGAATCCCTGCAGTTCTTGTTAGTAACAACCCGGTTGTAAAGTGAATCTGGCTTCCCCATTGACTTTGCTTGATAGAAGGTCCCAATGGTCATTGCATGACCCCAGGACATTGCAATCGTCATATATATGAGTCGGTTGCTAAGCATCCGAATTCTGAACACATGACCATGGGGATGCTGCAAGTGTGAAAAGTGGTCATAAGTCACTTTTTTTCAGTGCCATTGTAACTTTGAACAGTCCCTAAACTAACTGTTTTAAGACAAGGACGTCCAGTCATATGCACTTAAATACACAATGTTCCAAGCAGCAGGTGCCAGTCGCGGGTTAATCAGTCACTTAATCCTGCTTTAATACAAGCATGAGGGAAGCAGAACCTCAAATCAATTCAGAATAATAGAATAACAGAGTTGGCAGGGACCTTGGCGGTCTTCTAGTCTGACCCCGTGCTTGGGCAGGAAGCCCTATATTATTTCAGACAAATCGTTGTCCAATCTCTTCTTAAAAACCTCCAGTGTTGAAGCGCTCACAACTTCTGGAGGCAAGTTGATCCACCAATTAATTTCATTTCATTTCATTTATTTCATTTATTAAATTTTTATACCGCCCCTCTCCCAAAGGACTCGGGGCGGTGAACAGCCAGGATTAAAAAACATACAATATAAACATTAAAATACTTTAAAACATAATTAAATCTGTATTGGTTTTCCCCAATTTAAAACCCCTTACCCATAAAATTAACCTATTAAAAATTTTAAGCCAGCCCAGCTTGCTGAAATAAAAAAGTCTTCAGAGCCCGGCGAAAGGTCTGGAGGTCCGGGATCAGTCGTATCCCTGGGGGTAGCTCATTCCAGAGGGTGGGTGCCCCCACAGGGAAGGTTCTTCCCCTGGGGGTCACTAGACAATATTGCCTGACCGATGACACCCTGAGGAGACCCTCTCTGTGGGAGCGTATTGGCCGGTGGGAGGTTATCGGTGGCAGAAGTGGTCTCGTCAATAACCGGGCCCTAAGCCATGGAGCGCTTTGAAGATGAGAACCAATACCTTGAAGCGCACCCGGAAGACCACCGGAAGCCAATGCAGCTCGCGCAGGAGAGGTGTTACGTGGGAGCGCCATGTTGCCCCCATAAGTACCCGCGCGGCTGCATTCTGCACCAGCTGGAGCCTCCAGGTGCTCCTCAAGGGGAGCCCCATGTAGAGAGTATTGCAGTAGTCCTCACTGTTAAGAAGTTTCTCCTTAACAGGTTGCTTCTCTTGTTGATTAGTTTCCATCCGTTGCTTCTTGTCCTGCCCTCAGGTGTTCTGGAAAATAGGTTGACCTCCTCTTCTTTGTGGCAGCCCCTGAGATATTTATTTATTTATTTTATTTTATTTGTCAACAAGTACAAGGAAACAATATTAGTATACACGTAAACATAGGCACATGAAAAATGGTACAAATAAATGGATATAAATAAGCAAAACATAGCCATAAACACATAAAATGAGTGCATACAAATGGGGGCAGTAGGACAGGGACGGTAGGCATGCTGGTGCGCTTATGCACACCCCCTTTACGGACCTCTTAAGAAATGTGTAAGGTCCACGGTAGACAGTTTAAGGTAAAAGGTTTGGGGGATTAGAGAAACTAACAACAGGATCAGGTATAGAGTATTCCAGACATTTACTACTCTATTGCTGAAGTCGTATTTTCTACAATCAAGATTAGAGCGGATTACATTTAGTTTGAATCTATTAGTAGCCCTTGTGTTACTACGGTTGAAGTTAAAGTAGTCATTAACAGGTAGGACATTATGCTAGATAATCTTGTGTACTAAGCTTAGGTCGTAACGTAGATGGCGTAGTTCAAGGATATCCAGGCCTAAAATTTCAAGCCTGGTGGTATAAGGAATTTTAAATATTGGAACACTGCCATCCTTTCTCCTCTAGTCCTTCAAAACGCAAAAATCTAACGAGATCATTCTATGGGGAAAGAAACAGCCTTCTCCAAACTTCCCTCCTTGCACAAAACTATTCACACAGGCAAACATCGAAAACTAACTCTTACACTCTTGAAAACTCCCTCAAAGTCCTAAAACAAACCCGTGAATTTAATTGAAATGAATTGAAATAAAATTAACCAAATAGAACTCTCTCAGGTAACATTCTGCCCCATTCAATGTGTCACCACTTAGATGAGTAGGGGTGACAAGATAGCAGTCTTCCAGTGTTTGAGAGGTTGCTGCAAAGAAGAGGGAGTCAACCTGTTCTCCAAAGCACCTGAAAGCAGGACAAGAAGCAACGGATGGAAACTAATCAAGGAGAGAAGCAACCAAGAACTAAAGGAGGAATTTCCTGACAGTGAGAACAATTAACCAGTGGAACAACTGGCCTCCCGAAATTGTGAATGCTCCAACACTGGAAGTTTTCAAGAAGAGATTGCACATCCATTTGTCTGAAATGGTAGAGGGTCTCCTACTTGAGCAGGGGGTTGGACTAGAAGACCTCCAAGGTCCCTTCCAACTTTGTTATTCTGTTATCCTTCTGAAAAACCTTTTAAGAAATGGGTGCAGAGCCCGGGCAGCCCAAGTCTTCTAGGAAGGAAGGAAGGAAGGAAGGAAGGAAGGAAGGAAGGAAGGAAGGAAGGAAGGAAGAGGAAGGAAGGAAGGAAGGAAGGAGGGAGGGAGGGGGGAGGGAGGGAGGGAGGAAGTAAAGAAGGAAAGAAGGAAAGAAGGAGGGCGGGAGGGAGGGAAGTAAGTAAGTAAGTAAAGAAGTAAAGAAGGAAGAAAGAAGGAAGGGAGGAGGGAGGGAAGGAAGGAGAGGAGGAAGGACGGAGGGAGGGAGGGAGGGAGGGAAGGAAGGAAGTAAAGAAGGAAGAAGGAAGGAAGGAGGGCGGGAGGGAGGGAGGAGGAAGGAGGAGGGAGGGAGGGAGGGGAAGAGGAAGGAAGGAGGAGGGGGATGGAGGAAAAGGAAGGAAGGAGGAAGGAAGGAAGGATGGAGGGAGGGAAGTAAGTAAGTAAGTAAGTAAGTAAAGAAGTAAAGAAGGAAGGAAGGAAGGAAGGAAGTAAAGAAGGAAGGAAGGAAGGAAGGAAGGAAGGAAGGAAGGAAGGAAGGAAGGAAGGAAGGAAGTAAAGAAGGAAGGAAGGAAGGAAGCCCTCAGGTTGGAATTCCCTTCGGAAGGGTGAAACGTGATCTCTCCCAGAGGGGCCGGAGAGGCGGGGATTCCTTGGCGGTGCCAGATCCCGAGAGAGAGAGAGAGAGAGGGAGCGCTCGCTCGCTCGCCTTCCCTGCCTTCCTTGCTGCCGCTGCGGCTCGCTCCGACCCTTGCCTCGTCCCCAGCGGACAGAGGAGCCGCGGCGGGGAAGATGCGCCAGCAGCCGCGGGGCCCACGAGAGCATCTCTACAAGGTGCTGGTGATCGGCGACCTGGGCGTGGGCAAGACCAGCGTTATCAAGCGCTACGTCCACCACCACTTCTCCCCGCACTACCGCGCCACCATCGGCGTGGACTTCGCCCTCAAAGTCCTCCGCTGGGACTCGGACGCGCTGGTGCGCCTCCAGCTTTGGGATATCGCCGGTGAGTTTCCCCGCCCGGCCCGGAGCGCCAGAGCCAACTTTGCTCCTCGGATGTTGCTCTTCTCCTTCTCTTCCTTCTTCCTTCTTTCTCCTCCTCCTCCTCCTCCTTCCTTCTTTCTCCTTCTTCCTCCTTTCTCCTCCTTCCTTCTTTCTCCTTCTTCCTCCTTCTACCTTCCTTCTCCTTTTCCTTTTCCTTCTCCTCCTCCTCCCCCTCCTCTTCCTTCTTCCTTCTTTCTCCTTCCTCCTCCTTCCTTCTTTCTCCTTCTCCTTCTCCTCCTCTTCCTCCTCCTCCCCTCCTCCTTCTTCTCCTCCTCCTCCTCCTTTTTCTTCTTCTTCTTCTTCTTCTTCTTCTTCTTCTTCTTCTTCTTCTTCTTCTTCTTCTCTTCTTCTTCTTCTTCTTCTTCTTCTTCTTCTTCTTCTTCTTCTTCCTCCTCCTCCTCCTCCTCCTCCTCCTTCCTCCCTTTTTTCTCCTTCTCCTTCTTCTTCCTCCTTCTTCTTCCTTTCTCCTCCTCCTCCTCCTCCTTCTTCCTCCTCCTCCTCCTCCTCCCCTCCTCCTCCTCCTCCTCCTTCTCCTCCTCCTCGTCCCCCGGTTGATGGACTACTGTTCCCACCAACCCAGTCTCCTGGCAGGCCATGGTGGGAGGTGTAGTCTGACAGGTCAGCCAGGCCTGGGCCAGGTTAGGCCAGGTTGAAATCCGTTAGTGGAACAGGGAAGCTGGGAGAACAGATGTACAGGGACCAAAATGGGTGGGTTTCCTTTTTTTAAACGAGGGTGAATAAGAGAATAGTAGAGTTGGAAGGGACCTTGGAGGTCTTCTAGTCCAACTGTCTGCTCAAGCAAGAGACCCTATGCCGTTTCAGACTAATGGGTGTCCAATCTCTTCTTTAAAACTTCCAGTGTTGGAGACTTCACAACTGCTTGAGGCAAGTTGTTCCCCTGGTTAATTGTTCTAGCTGTCAGGAAATTTCTCCTTAGTTCTAAGGTTGCTTCTCTCCTTGATTAGTTTCCACCCATTGCTTCTTCTCCTGCCTTCAGGTGCTTTGGAGGATAGGTTGACTCAAGCAGAGGATGATGATGATTGATGATTATGATGAAGATGGCAGCATTTGTATGTGGCAATTCAACCAAAGTCCATAGGATACTCAATTAAATATAGAGCAGCAAGTACAATATTCCAAATGGGCCATCAACTTCAGTTCTTTTTTAAAAAAAAAAGATTTCACACAATATGCTATAGTTCAGTCTGACCTTAAGCATAGTTTGGTCACAAGTCGCATAAATGAAACCCTGTTTGTTTGCTGTAGCATTGCAGGGTGTGTGAGCACAGCAAATGGCCTGTTAAACTTGAATTGGATAGATCAACCCCACCCAGTTCTCTGAGCCTTTCTTCTAAGTAAGGAAGCATGATACGAAAGAATTGTGTAACTCTCTCTGTGATCCACTGAATTGTGTAACCCTCTCTGTGACCCACTGAGTCTTATGCCCAAGTAAACCGTCATACTTTTTATGCATTTGAAGCCACGTTTTTAAGCTCTGGATAAAACTCAGAAATCCAGCGTCATCTCATCCAAGTTGATCCAAAAGTTGAAAAAGTTTGGGCTTGACTTCTAAACAAGCGAACGTAATACGGCAAACTTTTTCTTTTTTTTGACATCTTCTCAGCTTCAGTGGAAAGCATTGTAAGAGCCTTGGTAGTACAGTGGTCTAAAGCACCCTGTTATTAAGACCAGCTGCCTGCAATTACTGCAGGTTCGAATCTCGCCAAGGCTCCAGGTTGACTCAGCCTTCCATCCTTTCTAAGGTAGGTAAATTGAGGACCCAGTTGTGGGTGCAATAAGCTGACTTTGTATAAATATACAAAAGGATGAAGGCTATTGCTTAATGCACTGTAAACCGCCCTGAGTCTCCGGAGAAGGGCGGCATATATAAAAAAAAAAAAGTCAGGACAGGTAGTCCTTGACTTGCGACCACAACTGAGCCCAACATTTCTGTTGCTAAGTGAGACATTTAAGTGAGTTTTGCCTCATTTTACGACCTTACTTACCACCGTCATTAAATGAATCACTGCAATTGTTAAGTTAGTGACACTGTGGTTAAGGGAATCCGGCTTCCCCATTGACTTTGCTTGTCAGAAGGTCACATGAAGGTGAAATTTTGGGGTCCTTGCTGCTCTCTGGGTTTGGCTGTTTTCTTACAGACGTTTCATTACCAAACTAGGTAACACCATCAGGGCTAGTTTGGTAACAAAACATCTGCAAGCAAACAACCAAAGCTCAAGAGAGCACGATCGATTTCAAAATTCAACTCTGACTTACAAGTACTCTGCTGTAAAGGTGAAATTTGACTTCCAATTTCTTGCTTCAAAAAGACCTCCTCCCTACTTCTTTCTCACGATGGTTTTGAAGTTCTTATTTTCTTATTTTTTTCTTTTTTTATAAGTTTGTATTTGACTTTATCACATACAAAAATTCCAGTTTCAATTGAACAGTGTGTTATCTGGGTACAAATCATTTTAGGAAATAATAGTCCAAGTGTTTACAACAGTCCTCATTGCATTAGTATCAGTTATAATAGTATTAATAACCTGACCTTCGCACCTTCCACCGCGAATTAAAAACATGGCTGTTCACATCGCCCAGCCTGGACTGAGGGGTTTTTTGATTATTTTAATGGGTTTTAATATATGTTTAAACTATATATTTATACATTTATGTATTTTATGTCTTTTATTGGCTTTGTTTTTACTTGTTGTGGGCCGCCCTGAGTCCTATGGAGATAGGGCGGCATTGTTCTGTCCCCGTCTCACACACGCACGCACACAAACAGTCAGCCAGGGGTTAAATAAAACTTGCAGACAATAAATTCCTTCGATAACACGATTGGCAGCCACCCAGTAGCTGCTTGCCAAGAACTTTACTCTCAGAGGGAGGTGTTCCTCCTCTGTCAGATAAACCAAAACAAATACACAAAGCCACAGAATTGTCAAGTCCAGTCCGTATTAAATCCAAGACAGGCAGATAACGTAGTTTCAGAGATACAATGCGACTCGCTAGTTGTTTAGCTTTGACCGTCACAGAGCCTGAATGGCCACCACACCCCCTTTTATCCCCTGTGGGGTGTGGTCCAGTGACTCAGCTTAATCTCTGGCACACCTCCTTTTCTGCTGCGTGCGCTTGTCTCTCCGACGCTGGTGTGGATCCAGCCAAGACTTATCTCCGTCACTGTCCGACTGCGAGGAGATACCTGGCTCCTGGCCAATCTCTTCTCCTTCGGGAGACACCTGAGGCATTGCCAGAGAGGAGGGTCCTGGAGAGGGAGGCCTGGCCAACTCCTCTCTTTCACTTTCGGAGCCTTCTCCCTCCGATAAGACAGGCTCGGGGGTCGGAGTCCCAACAGGCATATAAATTATATTAAATAAATAAAAATAAATAAATAAATTACTACTAATAATAGCAATAATAATATTTGTTTAACCAATTTAACATACCTTCCTTATATCACTGGTCCTTCCATATATTTCCCTGTTTCTAGCTCCTGTTTTTGTTTATTTTCTTTTAGTGGTTTAGTGGTGGCATCTGCAAGAGACGGAAAGTGAAAAAGGTTGTGCAGTTAGCCACACTATTTTTGCACGTGCCTTGTGACATCACACCAAAGGAGGCAGAGCTTATAGAGCCACAGCACTGTGTTGCTTTCCTCTTTTTCCTGTTGTGTAAATTTTCCTCTCTCTGCAGCCTTCCTGTTGTCTTCATTTCTTTCTTTTTTTTTTTTTTACAGTTCTTTATTTTATTCAAAAGTTTAAAATACAAAATGTATTTAAATGAGCTGTGGTGGCGCAGTGGTTAGAATGTAGTATTGCAGGCTAACTCTGCGGACTGTCAGCAGTTCGATCCTGACCGGCTCATGGTTGACTCAGCCTTCCATCCTTCTGAGGTCAGTAAAATGAGGACCCAGATTGTTGGGGGCAATAAACCACCTAGAGAGCGCTGTAAAGCACTATGAAGCGGTATATAAGTCTAGGTATTATTGGGAAGGAAGGAAGGAAGGAAGGAAGGAAGGAAGGAAGGAAGGAAGGAAGGAAGGAAGGAAGGAAGGAAGGAAGAAGGATACTGCAATACTGCATTCTAATCACTGTGCCACCACAGCTCCCATTGTTGTTGTTCTGACTTAGGCTTTCTTTATCTTCTTTGACACGCTGCCAAAGACCTAATTGGCAATTATCTTGGCAAGGCCACATGGAAACACAGAGTCAAAAATGGAGCTTCAAAGTACCAACCGACACCATCCACAATGTTGCTTCCTGCAAAGGCCCACGTGCCTTTGCTCTTCCTTTATGTCTTATGGGAGGAGCTAATCATCTCCAAGCCTTACTCCTGAGTTGTCCCTTTTGTTTTAACTGTTCTTGCCTTCTGGCAGCTCTACGCATGCGCGCACTAGGAACAGGCTCCCCCTGTTCCTCTGCCTCTCTGATGTCCGACTCTGAAGGCTCCAGAGTCTGCACATAACTCCCAGATGGCCCTGGCCCCATCTCTGCCTCCGACACAGAGCCCTCATCTCCAGGACTGGCCCATGTTCCTCCCCAGTCTCCTCACTGTCCGACCCTGCTGCCAGCTCCGCAGGCTGCTGGCAGACCACAACACTAGTGCTATTTTTCACACTGTTGTAGCATCCCCGTATGCTGCATGATCAAAATTCAGCTGCTTGGCAACTGACTCCTATTTATGACGGATGCAGTGTCCTGGGGTCATGCGATCATCTTTTGGTCGTAAAATGGGGCAAAACTCAGTAAAAAGTGCTAGTTTGGCTGGGGGACTTTGAGGTAGTCGCTAATTCTCATCCCTAGAGCAGAAAGGCTTAAAACGTATTCGCCCACCCGCACGGGATCAGTATTAGAGACCAATAACCTGTAAGTGTGAATAACGATCCTAAGTCACTTTTTTCAGTGATGTTGTAGTTTTGAACGGTCACTAAACGAACTGTTGTAAGCCGAGGACTACCTGTAC